TCGTGGTCGTGGTCGTGGTCGTTGTTGTTATTGTTACCGGTGTTACTCTTGCCGGTGCTCGTGCTAGTGTTGCTGGTGGTGCGGGTGGTGCCGGCGGTTCTGGTGGTGGTGGTGGTGGTGCTGCTGCTGCTGCTGCTGCTGCTGCTGCTGCTGCTTTTGGTGGCCTGACAGATTTCCCCTAGTGCTACGCACTCGGAGGCTGTTTGCTTGCAGTTTCCCCGCCGTGACAGGTGGGCTGCACCCGCCCAACTGCCCGTCTCCATACTTCGGCCAGTTTGATTTGAGTTCCCTTGGCTGCACAGTTACACCCCGGGGGGGAAAAGCAAACACCCCAAGCTGAGAGACGCAACCTGCTCTCTCCTTTTTTTGGGTGATGAAAGCCGAGGCCCCGGTGGAGAGTTCTTGCGGCCCTTCGAGAAGGAACGGCATGGCACATGGAAGCCTCGAAGCTCCGAAGCCCTGGCACTCCCTAACTGCTTTTTTGGGGTCCATGCAGTAGTCGCCCCAATGCTCGGCCCCAGATCTGTGCAATCCTACCTCCCCAAAAGGCTCATGTCCCTTGAATATGCCTCTCTTCTTACTGTATTACTCAGCTCAATGTGAGCAAGTGCCATCCTTCTAGTTAGATTCTAGCTATTATTCTTTCAACTTCAGGACCAGCATCGAATGATTGATAGGGGTTCGACCAGAATTCCAACCGTAAGAAGGGCGCAGAGGCATGTAACCATGAGAGCCCTCCAAGGAAAGCCGGAAACCTTTAACCGGAACTTCCTAACATCCCGAAAGCCTGCACCTCACAGCCTCAGCCCGACATCCCCTACTCCCTTCTCAGCCTCCTCGCAGCCTCTTGTCGCCTTCCAAGTCAAAGCTAAGAACAGTCCTGAGTGCTGAACAGACAAGGACTCAGGAACAGCAACTGCATGATTCTGTCGGAAGGATATTCAAGAAACCTCAACCTTTAGGCTCGGGGTTTTGGGGGCCACCAAGCCGACAAAGCCGGCTTGGGGGGATGCAGGAGAGCGAGCGGGAGTGCGTTTCTCTGCACGAAGGGGACGTCGTCCACCAGCTGCAGGCCTAAGTGCAGTGTTTGGGAGTCAGGGTGTGTCTTAAGGTGCAGTAGGGTTTGGGGTTTCAGGGCAGTATCAGGCTTTAGCAGGGCTTTAGCGTTGGAAGTGGACGTGAATTATACCGCTAGAGAGAGTGCTGGTTCTAAAGAATCCGCAGGTCGTCTTTGAGGTCACCCCCAGGACTGGCCCAAGGCTCCAACAAAAAACAGACTCTCTCTCTGCCCGACGCGGGTGGCTACTGTAGGCCGTGTTTGTCTGTGTGGCCGGGATCAGAAGTCATCGATTTGTTGGTAGAGGTGCGGTGCTCGACCCGATTCCAGGACGTCTCTGTGTGTTTCGTGCGGAAAAGATGCGTTGGCCCCGCAGGACGACGGTCAGAACAGCGTGGCCTATGCGATTCTCGAGAAGTCCATGAGCTGCAGGGAGTTCTGCCGCGCTCGCTCGAGCCAGTGCATCGATGCGAAGCCGCCTGGCTGGAATCGCAGGAGCATGTCATGTGCCATCGCGCGCCTAAACGCGGGGGCGTTTGGGTGTTGTATCCTTGCGGCTCGCCGTCCAGCAAAGGGACCTTCGTTGCGACAACCCGAACGGACAACCAACAGTGTCGTTGGATGTCATCTGACCGCAGGGACAACGTGGACTTTGCCCCCTGCAGCTTCACCGAGAACGTGTCTAAGCATCTTGGTGAAGTTTGTTACAGTTGTACGATGCCGGGGGCCGGAAGAGCAGATGCTTAGACAGATGCATCGAGAGACGCGCGCGTTGGGTAGAGATTTTCTGGTTTTCTGGTCTTTCATGGCTCCACAACCACCTGCAGGGCAGACTGCGACTCCACAGAGTACTACGACCTGAACTGCGTGTGCAAGAAGCCAGACATCTCGTCCCCCGGGCGCGGCGCTTGGGGGGCCTGGCCCCTAAACCCTAAACCCGTGACGCATGGCATTCCCGTCAGGATCGCGTCTGCCTCTCCACCTTGTCTCAGTGCTCTTGGAACTGCTCGTGGTTTGGTAATTGCTATGATGAGTGCTGCTTTCAAAAAGTTGTATGACTCTTCTGATTATTGTTTGTCACCAAACAACAGCACCGTGGCCGGAAATGCTATGATGCTCTGCTTACGTTGAGGGTGGACTTAGGGAGGCTCTCGGGCCCTCTCCTGGGACCAACCCGCATTTTGTAAATTCCACGCAGCAAACTTCTATCTAGCCCCCTTAGGCCTAGGCTCTTGCAGCACACTCCGAAATGTGGGGGGCGCATGTTTTTTTTTTTAGCGTCCTTGGATGCAAACGCCAACGCCAGAATCCCGCGTTGACATCGCTCCTCAGGAGGGACACTGGTGCTTCGCTAACCTTGTATTTACGGATCTGTGGATATCATCAGGGGCTGGCCTTCTGGTGGTCTGATTCTACTTTCTGTTGCGTGCGTGTCTTTTAGATCCAATCCTACCCGCAGTCAGCCGCAGTCATGGTGCTGACACGGAGGGCTTCGCCGCACTGATTGCGGATGCCAGTGGTACAGACAGATGCAAGGAAACGTTGCAGCTGGTGAACCTTGCCATTTTGACTGTTGCTTATGTTGCTGTAGTTGTGTTTATTACTGCTGTTCTTGTCGTGGCTGTTGCATCTCGTCTGTGGCATCAATGGTTCATCACTGTTATCACTTTCACTTACCCATGATCTCGTCATTCTTATTCTGATTCCTACCATCGGATACTGTCGTTTACGAACGAGCGACACATCCGTGTGGGAGTCAGACAAAAGTGGGCTCGGTGGCTTTCTCACTGCCATCTCGGTAGCCTGTGCTTCAAAGAACCCTCCAAGGGACCGCAACGTAGGACAAGCACACAGCCAACAGCAAGACTCTATCATGGAAAACCCCCACTTGCTGCAGCCCTCCCGTAGTTTACACACACACACACACACACGCACACGCACACACGTACACGTACCTCTGTCTATTCGGGGTGTATATTTTGAGGCTCAGGGGTCTTCACTACAGACTTGCCTTTCAGGCCGGACAAGCGCTACGTGTGCGACGACAAGGTCTCTGCTTTCGCCTCGCATACAGTCGTCCTGTACGTCATCATTGGCATAGCTGGTTATCGCACGAATGACTTCTAAACTCTAAGACCTAGTAGCCCCAATCTTTGCAATATCTCTGGGCATCCGGCGATGCAGGTGGATGCGTCCGGCAATGCCTTCAAGCTCGAAGATGCNNATGAGCCATGGAGAGGAAGTACAGGGCTTTATTGCAGAGGACTTTTTCAGGTCTTGACAGGGCTGTTTCAGGTCTCAAGGGATTTCCGTGGTTCCGGAGCAAAACAGTGCAATGAAACAAGAATGCAACGCAACCGCAGTACTCGTAGCAATACTGAAACGACTGAGAAGAAGAGAATGATACGCAGTGCGAGCAACACATTGTGGGTTTCTTCTCAATACTATTGTCATCGTCGCTACTTTCATCATCCGTCCAGCATTTTAGTAACCTATAGTAGTTGATACGCTCGTTACTCTTGCTCTTCAGAGACGTGCTAGTGCTGCTGTCGGATGTCATTTCGTGGCAAGCCTCCCTCTGCTTTGCAGGCCAAAGCTCCCTTCTTGCATCGCGCTGAGTGGGATCGCAAGGCTTTGGAGCCCAAGTGCTCGCTTGGGGCTCTTGGGATGTTGGGAGTTTAGAACTCACACAGGGCGCTGGGTTTCAAGTCTTAGGGGTTTCAATTTTTAGGGGATTTCGCATGGCAGCCATTGGTGTGCTCACCCTGTGCTTCCGTCAGGGTTGCAAGAACGACGACGAGTGCCGCATTGACTTCATCCTCGGTGCCTGCGTATCGGACACCTTGAAGCATTCGTACTCATGGGAAGACAGCAGGAAATGCTTGTAGCCGTTTTGCCTTTGTGGCAATCAGGACGTGTGCAATGCCGAGCCCAACAACCGTGTGGCGGTCGCCAAGAACGCAGGACACTTTCGACAGCTAGGCTCGGTTTTTTATTTCAGAGTGTCCCCAAACCCGAAACCCTAAAC